CTCCCTAAATGATTCATTTAGAAGCCAGTAAGCTATCTGCTCAATGTCCTTAGGCATAGGATTTCCAGTACATAGGTATACAGCTTCTTCTGTAATCTGCTGAGAAGCCATGTGTGTTGACTGCATTCATCAAAAAATTAAAAATTAATATGATTGGTGACTGCTTTAAAACTAAATAGTTCTTATAAAAACTCAACATTGTTTCAAGCAACACTTACAAAATCAGTCACAAAATTATTCCAAGTGTGGCTACAAAATATCATATAAAACCAAGTCAATAACGAATGACGACTCATATTGTCTTGTTATCTTACTTTCAGAATTCAAATTTAATAAATAAAATTTTGACTAAAATGCTCTTCATTTTTTCCTCATCAACAAAATGTTAGCATTATTCCCCATTTGTCCATAGGAAAGCCAGCAAGTACAGATGTTATGTGTATGCTTCCCAAATTTTACACATTCACTAAATGGAGCCGTTACAAGTTTACAACCCTAATAACTAAGTAGAATATTTTTGCAGCATTAAGTGCCACTACTTATATATGAGAAGATGTCTGCTTTGATAGATTAGTACCCATATCTTGTTTCTCAAATGAAAACCACTAAAACAAGAACACCACTAGATTAGTACCCATAACACCAGCATACAAAGAAGCAATATATAAGTTTATCTTAAAACCTGCAAAATGTTCAAAGCCTTTCTCATATCACCATTGCTAAGCCTTACAAGTGCTGCCAAGCCGCTGTCAGTTACATCAAGCCTGGAACAGCACATGAAAAAGTTAAAGGCATTGTGGCAGAAGCTTCAAACACATAGCTCAAATAAGAAAAGGTAAAATGACATAAAAATTGCTGCAATACCTATCTTCAATCCTTCATGGAACTACAGATACTGTATAAAAAATGATAGCAAAAACTAGAGCCTACCAATGTGGTTCTCCATATTTATACTAAACATTAATGGAAAATTAAAGATATGCCAATTGCAACAAGTGAAGATGCTCAACTTGAGTGTAATACCACAAGAAACCCCAACTTAACCAACATGAGATAACACCACTTATCATGTGTTGGTCTGGTAGAACAAGACATCGTAGGCCTAACATGTCAACAGCTAAAGAGGCCAAAGCAATATCAAATTGATTCTAGCATAACAACTAATAGAAAAATATAAAATCACACAAAATAGGATATATAAGTTATACACAGTAGATCATATAAGCTAAACAGCAAGGAGAGTTGTCATTTGTTGCTCAGAACTAAAGCAAAAGGTTGACCAAAATTGACGAAGGTTGTCATATGAATATATTAATTCATGAAGTGAAAATCCTCTCCCTCTCCACACCCCACCCCACCCAGAGTTGACCAAAATCACAAATGAATTAATAAATGACAAAATAAAATAAATAAACCCTTGCCTTTCAGACTCAATAACATGCTTCAGTCGCTGATCGACATGATCAGGATCCAGAGGAGCAAATCTAAATCGAGTACATCTGGACTGTAGTGCAGGAATAATCTTGTTGACATGATTACAAATAAGTGCAAACCTAGCATTCTTTGTGTATTTCTCAATCACTGCAACAGAAACAGACATTAAAAATATAGGCATCAGGGAACTAACATGCTGAAAAGAAAAGGAGAGAGTGGAAAATGTGTTATACCTCTACGCAAGGCAAATTGTGCATCCTTTGTCATGGCATCTGCCTCATCAAGTAAGACCAACTTTACTTGTGACTTTGCACTGCAGACAAAATGATGACAAAGATGAATAACTTAAATTTGTACTTAAAGAGATGTCAGTTTCTTCATTACCACCAAAACATAATTCATGCATATATTGATACATGCACATACACATGCATTTACTCAATTGGGGGATTTATTGTTTTCTTTTTTTCCAACTTAGCAGTGAAAAAGTTGTGGAAACCGTAGGCAAACTTGTTGACCCACTGAGGGATCAGGTCACAATCGTTAAATGGGGGCAATTCAACCGCATAAGATTATTGACATGAAAATTTTTGAACTATGAGGCTAGATGAAACTCTCGTCAATAACTTCACTTCTAGCAATAACTTCAGTTTCTCCCTTCATGGTTCAAATCAAGCTAAGTGAGAAATATTTACATACAACTAAATGGATTCCACTACTTGACTAAACATGTGGTTAAAAACCCTTTATCAGCCTCCTTATGAGCTATGCAATACTCCAAACAACTACCATTCCACCACCACAACCACACATCTTGAGATTATATAAATTATAAAGACAGGTTCAGCAAACAATTTACCCAAACGAGAAGCTTTGTGTGCTGGCAAAATCTTGGATCTGTTGTCGTACCACTTCGATACCCCTATCATCTGAGGCATTCAGCTCCAGGATCATGTTGTGGTACTGTGCTCCATAAAGCTTGCGCGCCACAGCCAGAATGGTTGACGTTTTGCCGGTACCAGGAGGGCCATACAACAGCAGATGAGGCAATCTATTCTCGCTCGTAAGCCTGTCAACTAAACCCAAATAAAAAGGACAGAAACTTATTAAAGCAAGAATTTGGGAAAACACGACCTAAAGAACATTCCTTTACGGAATCTCAAACAGGGAAAAAGAAAGAAACCCTATCTAGGATTGGAGAGTGGTCACTACTTACTGGTGTCGACGATGTCCCGATGGGCGGCGACGTCGGCAAGGGACAAAGGGCGGTACTTCTCGACCCACGGAGTAGCTTTAGTGTCGGCGACGACGACGTTTTTGCCCTTGTTTGGTCTCTGGTAGTGATTGTTGCCATGGTCGCCGGTTTCTTCGTCAATGTCCATCGGCGTCAGTATCTCCGCCATTGTCGTCCTCCTCTTTCCACAGTATGCTACGAGGGAGAGCAAGAATCAAAATTTTCTAGTTCTAAATAATGGCGCCAAGCAAGCCTTTTTCGCCGCTCCCTGTCTTCTACGGTTCTCTGCCATTGCGACACGACTCTCTGTTCAAGGTTTTTTTCTTTTTTTTTTTTAAATCCTTGGGCTGTTAGATGGACTAAAGCGGGAAAACCCAGATATACAAAGCCCAACATCAACAGTATGCGGGCCTAAATTGACACTTCTATTCACACCGGAGATCGGCGATCAACCTCAGCCGTGAACCTCCTTCCCTGACCCATATCCACACAGATCTAAAGAACATTCCTTTATGGAATCTCAAGCCTTTCCTCACCGGCGCCGACGTGACCTTCACCATGAATTTTTGGGTGGATCAGTGGGGAGACATTAACATGTACCTAGATTCGAGAAAGAGTAAAGAGGTCATGCAGCTAACATTGGGGAGGTAGTGTAGGATTTGCTTTGGGATAATTCTGAATTATTATCATTTCCAATTCATTATGCTTCCATTCTCCTTGTCCAGAATCATGGACGGATGAATTTTCTTCCATAACAATTTGGTGTTGCTTGTAAAAGCTACAGTACTGGTGATGCCGATGGATCTTTCCTATTTGTAATTGGAAAGTTGTTTAGATTATCTATAACAGAAAGCATAGAAACTAGAAAGTGCTTATTATATCTTTTTTGATAACAACAATTTGTCTTCAAGGTTTTTCTTCTGCCTGGAATTTTATTTTTTCAGAGTCATTTAATTAATTTTACAGCACTCCACCTTGTAAAATAGTTTTCTCTATGTATAATGAAGCAGAAAAATGATTTCAGCAAGCTTCCTGTGACTGAAAACTGGATCTTACCGAAGCATTTAAGCGTGAAGCTGATACAGACATGTTTTTTTTGTCCATTCATTTATTGTTTTTTCTCAATGCTGTCTCCTGGCCAGTATTGGAACTTAAATTTTTTAATAAAAATTAAAATAATATATTTTATAAGTTAAATTTATTGTCTTAATTGATTGAACTAATCATTGTTAGTTAATGATTCTACTTAAAAACATGTCATTTCATAATAATTACATAATTTATTACTATGATTAACCTACAAATGAGATGAGTAGTATAAATAGGATATGTCTTTTTGCTTAACTAAACAAGTTCTTCCACAATTTATGATACAGATTCATAAAGTACTATTATAAAGTTATAGCATCTTAAATACAACATGCTATGTATGTCTCTACTCCTTCTATCGATCTACTTTCTATAGAGACATTAATCACTTTAAAATAAATAAACTTTTTATGTATATTTTGATAATATTTTATTATTTTTATTTGATATTGTGGAGGAGGCACAACAATAACATGAGCTGAAGATGGAAGAAAATGTTCAAGGAACAACACGTGTTGCAATTTGCTGAAGTCCATCCAATCTGCTCGTTGCAATTTGCTGAAGTCCATCCAATCTGCTGGTTGCAATTTGCTGAAGCCCATCCAATCTGCTTCTTCTCATTGTCATAGATTACCAATTTGTCTAGCATTGAAATGTCTGAATAGCAAAAAGGGTAAAGGATTCAAGTTAGATTATGAAAAAGGAAGAAACCCGAAATTGGGGCGTAAAATCACTGACATGAGTTCAGGACCTTTTCTGCATTGGCATGTCTTACCTCCAATTACATTACGTTCTTGGAGTCCTTCTTCAGTCCCGTTCAAAATTCCCAGGCATGCATTTCCATTTTCCTGAAAGAGAGGAGCACATTAGATTTGTTATCAATCTACTTGCATCTTTAGTTTCCTTGATTTTTTTTTCTTTTACTGTCTCATTGCTGAAAATTAAAGGTGCCAGGAGGTTCTCACTGAAATTGTGGGATAATTTTCAAGTGTTAGTTGCAGCTGTGCATTCCTCGTGCCTGTGAAGCTCAGTGTAAAGGACTCGAAATGGACTCCGGAAAGTTCCGCGTGTTCCCAGCAGACAGGAAGAGCTGGATCTGGTACTTGTGTTATTGGCTTCCCATTTGGATCCTTGCTCAACTGAATTATGAAGTTAGCAATGAGTTCCTGTTACGTGTCATACTGAATTTCATTGAGGAACAGTTCTATGATTATATCTCACCTGATCGATTATGGCAGCATAAACTGCAGAATTAAAGTAAGTGTAGGTAGAGCCAGAGTCAAAGATTACATAAAGATCTGTTTGGCCAGTAGGGTTTCCATTAAAGAGAAGATCTGCTGGACCCGATTCATAATATTTACTGAAATAAAATCAGCAAGCACGCGACATATGTTATAGAAGCAACTCAGAATTGCAACAAAAATAACAAAAGAATCTGATAAGGCTTACTCCCCGGTGTTCTGCGACATTGGTACCCAAGAGACTCCTGAAGAAGGTACAGCATCATTTCCAATGAACATAGATCCTCCCCCTTTTGAGCTGTAACAATGACCTATTACATTTTCTACACCAAGCTGAGAGCAGATGTTTGCTGCACCATTGCCAAGTGCAAGGACTCCAGTAGGGGAAGGCGAATGTTGACCACGATGAATGTCATATACACACCTGCAGACCAGAGGTAAGGAATCAAAGTTATTTGCAATTGTAATTGAAGATACAGAATACAGATACACACCCAAAGGTCAAACTGGACGGAGGAAGAGTGCCACCGGTGATGCGTCCATAAAAAATGTCTCTGACTAGCAGCCCACGAACTGAGCTACCATCAACATACGACCTGTCGAAGTGACATAGTCTATCTGTTCTCCCGTTAGTAGTTTCTGTGAAACCTTGAATTGCAGAACATATAGGATCCTCATAATACACAATGCTGCCTTGTACAGGCTTGTAACGTGGACCTGGAGGCTGCACAAAGAAGGCACAGATAAATCACAGAGGTACAAAAGCAATACGTGTGATGCGAAAATAACACAATCGTTATATGCTATATTAATTATAACTTTCTGGACAAATTTAATTACCACAGTGCAGCCAGTGCAGGCTATATCACATGGGACCCAAGTGAGGTCACTTCCAGTGTCAATGTCAAGAGTAAAAGGCCTGGGTTGATTGCCTATGCTGAGGGACACTGCAAAGTACCTGCATATTCAAGGAAGTATGAATTCAATTATTTCCATCACCTTAACCCCAAGAAGCAACAAACTTGTCAAGCAAACGAGAACATGTGTAGGACAAAAAAAATGAAAAGATGTATGAGATTGCATCAAACGAGACCATGTGTAGGAGAAAAAAGTGAAAAGATATGAGATTGCATCATGGGGAATTTGTAGTAAGAATTTCGCAAAGGAATGTTACTTTGATCTGCAAATATGAAATATGTAAATGAATAGAAAATTTAACTACGAACCAAATCCAGGCAAGCCCATAAAACAAAAAGGAATAATCTGTATTCCAAGGAAACCAGAAACAAGATACAATGACAACTGACAAGGCATATCCTTGAGAAGATCGAAAGCATACCCAAGAGGATGGACATTCCCGGTGACTGGGAAAACAAGAGAAGAGCCAAACCCATAGTCATCTGGAAGCTGAAAGAGCAAGACCAGCATCAATGAAAGTTTTCTGCTTTTGTTGGCATCCATGGGTCTCTGAAGCAAAATCTAATTAAAAGGTTTGGATTTTGTTAGGAATCAGAAGGCAAGCACCGTTGCTTA